GTATACATGCGGCGGTAAATATTCATATATATACATATAAATATATATATATATATATATTGTGTATGTACACAAGCACATACGTAATGCATATTAGTCTCACCCCCCTGCTTCTACCTCGACCTCCTTCCGCCCTCCACACTCCATTATCCAGTAGCCATCCCTCTTCCCACGAATACATACACGAGTGCAGAAGCAGCAAGAGCAAGCAAACAGCAGCAGCAGCAGCTGCTGCTGCTGCGGCTGCTATTTACTTGCTCCTTCCAGCGTTCAATTGCTCGAGCAACGAACGCCACTCAAACTGCGTAGAGCGCCCCTGAGGCCCGTAAGGCCGGAGACAACCCGTGGACAGTGCCGCTCCCCTACAAGGAGAGCATGCAGTATCAATTGCGCGATACAGCCACAAGCTAGCTAGCTAGCTAGCTTGTTCGTTTGCTGGCCATCTAGCTATCTTGCTAGGCGGCTATCTAGGTAGTTAACTACCTGGTGAAAGAAAAAGCCAGCGCTGGGCTGTAGATACACTCCGGCAGGAGATAAAAAGGCGTAAACGAGCCGCCGCTTCTCGATGATGAAGCAGCCGCTGCTGTCTATACACCATTATCGTGGGGCTCTTACTGCGGTTTTTCGTTCCCAGATTCTTTTATACAAACGTGCGGCCTCTGCGCCTGAGAGCCTTTCATCTCTATCGTGTCGCAGGAGGCCTTGCACTAACTCAACCCAGTCTTCATTAACATCAGCAGCATGTAGACGGCTTTCTAGGAGCTCCTCTGCTCCCTCTCCGTGAACCATACTGTCTCTTATATCCACAAATGACTCTCCTGTGAAGAGCTCGAATAGCAAAGCCCCTAAACTCCAGAGGTCTGCCTTCTCATGCGAGAGCGCCGGAACATCTCTCCTAAATGAAGCAAGAAAATCATGCAGTAGCTGCGGCTCAGCATAGCGAGGGTTGATAGGAATGCGTGGGTTAAGGGCCTCCCCCATTTGATTAAGAGACTCGAAACCCCCTAAGGAGACTATACCATTATGATCTACAAACAAGTTGCTCCAGCTTAATGCATTATGCGATACCCCCGCCTGCTGTAGATACAGCACCTGGTGAACAAGGCGGCTTCCGATATATTCGCGCGCCTGCATAGTATCATAAGAGGCGTCTCCTTTCATAGAGGAGACAACTGAATGCAAAGGAGAAAGGAGATTGCTATACGCCTCAACACGCTGAAATAGCATCTTCGATCCATCCGGGTGATTGGGCTGTGTTAATACAATACCTCCTACTTGGTCGGCTACTAGAAGGCCCCTTACTGCTGCAGCATCTGATATAGGGGTCTCTCCGCATGCAACAACTAAAGCCCTTGTCTCTAGAGCAATATCTACCCATTTGTTTGCTGTCTCCACAGAGAGCTTCTTCTCATTCCCCGCCGCACATAGATGCAGTCTTAAGGTAAAGGGCCTAGACAGAGCAGAGTCATATGCTTCTACAAATACGCTCGATACCCCTACACCAATGATGCGTGTAAGTAAGACAGGCTGAGTAAAGGCCCCCTCGGGAAGGCCTCTCCCTAGAGGAAGCATATTTACTAGGTCTACCTGCATACCCACAATATCTTTTGTCTCTCCTCCTGTTAATGTCTCTGCAACTATTGAAGCCAGCTCTCTCTCTCTATCCGACAGGGCCTCCTCCGGCGCTTCAAGCACATTGTCTACACAAGCCTCTGCAAGACTCAGTAATATATCTCTTCCATATACACCTGAAGGAGCTTCATCAAGCGTATCTGCAGGAGGTAAGACCCAGCCCCACGAAGAAGGAACAGGAACATAACCAGGCATCTCAACCTCCCAAACCAGCTCCTCCTCCTCCTCTTCATCTCCTCCTTCTGCTTCTGCTGCTTCTGCTGCTGCTGCTGTTGCTGCCGCTACTGCTCCTGCTCCTGTTGCTGCTGCTTCTGCTCCTCCTTCTGCTGCTGCTGCTGCTGCTGCTGATTCTTTAGGCTCTAAAGATACTCCCCCTACGCCCCCCTCTACCTCCCCTGCAACCTCAAACTCGACGCCCTCCCCCTCCGTCTCCTCTGCAACCCCAAAGAGGGGGACTTCCCCCTCGTCTCCCGTTGCTGGAGATGGTAAAGGAACCCGCGTTGGGTATGGGGCTGCCAGATGCTGCTGCTGCTGCCATTGCTGCTGCTGCTGCTGCCACTGCCACTGCTGCTGCCACTGCTGCTGCTGCTGCCACTGCTGCTGCCACGGATGCTGCTGCAGTCGCTGTTGGTGTTGACGGCGGTGACGGTGCTGTTTCGCGTAAAGGGCGAGAGGCCTTTCCTTACGGGGTGTCTGCGGAGACACCTGGAGGCTGCTTTTCGCCTTCCGGTGTGCAACCCCTATAGCAGTTAAAGTCAGAATGAGACTCACGAGTAGAGCCAGCCTGCCTGTCCACTTCGGTCTTCTACGGGGGCTAGCAGTAGCAGAAGCACCAAATGCCCCCTTATTTATAGTACCCTCACCATTGTTATTCGTCGGTGCTGCAGGAACCAACTCCAGACGGGGATCGGGAGCGGGGGATCCGCCTCCCTCCTCCTCCCACGCCGCCTCGCCCTGCAGCTCCCGCATAGCGAATGCTGTGTCAGGCCTTCAGAGACGAGCGAAGGCAGGAGGAATAAGAGACACAAACCAACAGCAGCAGCGGCAGCAGCAGCAGCAGCAACAGGCTGTGGTGAGTGCATACGGCGGTATGTATGGAAGGGGCTAAGGACCCACCCACTGGGACCTACATCCCCCAAAGCTGCCTTTGTAACAGCTTATATCCCCACCTCAACAGTAAAAATCAACAAAAAAGACGCATTTCTTTGAGTTTTTGTACTCAAGGCGGCCGTTGGCTGCAGCAAGCCACGTAGCTGCTGCACCCGGTGTCCTTAGTAGCGGCAGGATAAGGCTGATAATGCATAAAATCAAACAACTACCATTCAACTCCCAGAAAATATACAATAAAAACGCATAATTGCAACAAAACAAGAAAATATTATCAACCCTTTTGAAGACCCAGACGCGTGGGGAGGGGCTGCTGCCTAACCTCGTCGCTGGAGCAGGAGGCCTCGATGCTGTCCCATGGCTGCCTTTGAAGCTAAAGTAAATGGAGCATAAAATTGATTAATTCTTTTTAATATATATTATATTATTCCATTTATATCGAATCATTAATCTTGCACTCAAGACAAACACACGCAACAAACATACTACTTGCTAGGCGCGTCCTTACCATGCAAGCACTCAGTTTTATTTTGCCCTAGCCGCTGTATCAGAATTAAAACAAAAAGCAAACAAATACAATATCAAAGGAATAAACACATTCAAAACAATAAAAAGAAAACCAAACAAACAAACACATATTGTAATTCACAAACGAGACGAATTGTCTGTTGCGACGTAATGCTGGCATTGTAAGCCGCTCCGATATTCACCTATGAAAGTTGTGAGCAGCAAAGAGTGAATATAGTGAAATAAAAACAAATTATTTTAATTAATTCAAGGTGCATTAGAAGGAATGTTATTAACGGAGTTTTCTTATCATTACGGAAGCACCGGAATAAGCACCGACGCATCCTTGTAATATAATATTCTATTGAGGTGTTCTGCATGAATACTAACTGTTTTGAATAGACAGCGTGCATGCGAACAGAACTGCAGATGTTGTCTACAGTGGTAGTAGAGACAGGGAAATGGCTTAATGTTGTGTTTGCATGCAAAGGCTGCAAGTCTTGTAGCAAGAGAACTGCAACTCATCTAGGGCTGTTTCTTCTTCAAGTTTCTTTTCCATAATCTGCAAGCCATTAGAGCTCCGTCCCCAGAACGTATATACATTGAAGAGAAGGTGACCGATTTCTTTTTATTAACCTCTTTCTATGCACTCTTTCCTCAAGTATTTCGTCTTAGTTCCAATTCCTTATCTCAGTTTGTCTCACTGTACTCCCCGTTTTCTCCCGTCCTGAGTACAGCGCCAAAAAGGCGACGGTTTCAAATTAAATAAAACAGACCTCAAAAAATATTTGTTTAAATACTCCAAATTGTTTACGCTGACAGACAGATCAGGGCCTCACGTGTCCACACGCAACTGAACAAACAACCACACACACTCATACTACATATACGCACCCCGTCTCCGCGATCAGCGTGCGCCTTCGTGTGATGCTTCACTGGAAATGTATGAGTAAAGCAACTAGAAGAGAGGCAGAAAGCGAGAAATACCAAAGCCATCAACAAGGTGCAGAGGGGTAAAGAAAGGTTGTGAGAGGTGAGATCGACATCTGTAAGTGTCGCCTTTATTTGCTGCTCTTCCGTGCGCGTCTTCCGAATTTTTTAGGTTCTTGTCCATCCGGATCGCATTAA